CTCAGGAGACGCTGTCATTGTGGAACTAAGTAAATTGGAGGTCATGCTGACACATCACTTCCTGTTGGCAGCCAGAGCTTTAAGACTAACAGTATGTGGGCAGGTGAATTTTTAGCTACACACCTGGTGTGAGCAAGGGTTGGTTCCCTGAACCATGACTAATGCCAGGACAACGAGCACTTTGAAACAGAGTAAAAAGAAAACCGAACAAATACATAAAGCACTGTGTTCACACTCTGTGGAGGAAACCAGATGAATTACTGTTGCCCTAAAAGCCACTCATTACATAACTAAGCAATACCAGGGAGACGCAGCTATAGGATCTGAGAACCAACTCCAGAAACCCCAAAACCAATTCAGAAAACTCATCCCTAAGACTCTTCCTCTAGAGCCACTCTCAGGACCAACATCTGTGTTAGTCGGGGTTCTCCAGAGAGACAGACCCAACAGGATGCGCATACACGCTCTGAAAAAGAGAGAGAAGATCGTCTACCTCAGGGAATCGTCTCGTGAGCTGGTGGCGGCTCCGAGCGTCCAGAATCCGCAGGGCAGGCCGTCGGGCTGGGGACGGGGCAGAGGGGCAGCGCGACTCTGAGAGCAGCCTGTCGGGGCAACGCCCGCCTCTTCTGGGAAGGCCAGTCGTTTCCTATTAAGGCTTCCAGCTGATGGGATGAGGCCCACCCCCCTTACGGAAGGCAATCTGCTTTAATATCGAAGTCCACTGATTTAGACATTAACCTCATTTTTTAAATCTTCACTGAACTATCTAGAATACTGTTTGAACATATCTGGGCACTGTGGCCCAGCCAAGTTGACACATAAAATTAACCGTCACAAAAGCTAACAGTTTTTCCAATGTGTTCGACTTATTTAAAAGTTTTATGATTCTAACATAGTGTAAGGAAAAGATTTTGTGTAAGTACTTGGAAAATTACTCTGTATTTTCCTAGTGTGGTGGGAAAAACGGTGAGCCCCCAGCCCCAGATGTGAGCATCCTAATCCCTGGAACCTGAGTCTCATTAATTCAAGTAGCAACAAGGACCTTAGGATGAGTTACCCAGGTGAGCCAGTGTATCCACAAGTATTCTTAGAGAGAGAGGCGGGCGGGTCGGGGAGGGCGAAGCAGGCGTGTGGAGCTGCCGAGGGGCTGCAAGACGTTCACGCTGGGGGTCTGGGAGGCGGAGGAGGCCGCCGAGGAACGCAGACGCCTCTAGAAGCTGCAAAACCCCACGCCCTTCAGAAGGGACCCGCCAGCCCTGCCAAGACCTTGACCTGACCCCAGAGACTAATTTTCGACCTACGGGTTGTAAGGTAATAGATTTGTTTTAATTTTTTTTATTTAAATCACTAGCTTGTGGCCATGTTACAGCAGTAAGAGGAAAGGAACACACCTAGTGATGTGAAATCCTTAGTTGCTAGGATGGTGATCTCTTGAGAGGAAGAGAAGGGAAAAGATGTGTGTGTGTGTGAGTGGGAAGGAGGGCAAGAGAAATAAATACTGTCGTCCGAAAAAGCCCTTGAATAAATGTCTAAAATGAACATACTAAACATAGCTACTCGAGAAAGCAGAACTTCAGTGACAGGAGTGAGTATATTGGGGGTTGCTCTACATTCTAAATTGTGTCATACAATATGCCATTAATCCATGCACATGTATATTATCTTGATTAGAACAAAACTAAATTAAAAGTTTACCGACATTAAGCTCTGAAAGAATTAGTAGAGGACATAGTCCAAACAGAAAAACGAACTGAAATCAGGAAGATAGATCATAAACAAGGGCAAGCGGAGAAGCCAAGGCAGCCTAAATATGACAGTCAGTCATCTGGAACGTGAATCCCAGATGATCTCGATATAGATGACGGCAAGGGAAGACAAGAGAAATAACTCCTTCTAAGGTTCTTGGTGTTGTTTCGGTCATGGTGAGCTATAAATACTGATTAGCTCTAAATATTAAAGTCTACGTAAAAATTAAAGGTGTATAGTAACATTTTTAGGATTACTACTAACAAGAGGAATAGGATGTAATCCTTGCACAAATAACTAAAATCTGGGGTGGACAGAACTATCTAAAGGTGTGTGAGAGAAACTAAAAGGAGGTAAGACTCTGGTGATGGGTTGAAATTTGGAAAAATAACAGTACTGGGCTTGTTTCCTGTTTTCCCTGCCTTGAGTCTCAGTAAAATCCTAGCCTGGGTGACCCAAGGCATCCGAACTCCTCCAGCCAATCTTCCATCTTCCTGACTTGAAGAGCCAGAAAAGATAGCCGGGAAAGTCACTGGGAAGTGAGAGAGGAGATTCCTAAAACCCGGGGGCAGGGAGTGGGCCAAATGCTGTGTGCAACCTTTGACATCTCTGGCTGTCCCCAGACCATCCGTGTGCAGGGCAGAGACCAGGCAGTTCAGTAAGGATAAAGAACGGGACTGGGACTTGATTTGCCTCCCAAGGAGCAAGGCTGGCAGGTGGGGGCGCACCACGCCCACTGTGGGCAAAAACAGGAAGAAGAAAAAATGCTCGTTAGAGGAATACGGTAACAGAAGGCACAGTCCACACAAACATTTACAACATCTAGGATTCAGTCCCAAACTTCTCAATTTATGAATACACAGGACAATGTGACCGTTTATGGGAGGAAAAACATCCAATGGAGACCAACCCAAAGATGACTGAGGTGTTAGAAATAGCCAATTTTGAACTATTCTCAATGACGTAAAAAACATGTGCTTACATGAAAACATAGGAAATATCAGAAAAATGACACTAACTTCTAAAATGTAAACCTTAGAACGAAGATGTGTGTAAAAAGTCACTGGATGTCCTCAATAGCCAGGTGAAGAAGTCAGTGGACTTAAATATAAATCAATAGAAATTATTCAATGTGCTTTTTAAAAAACTTAGATGACCCAAGCCTCAGGGACAGTATCAAAGTCTAACATAAATGCAACTGGAATCTGTCAAAAGTTCAGAAAGAGCTTAAGTAAAACCAGTGAATCACCAACCTAGAAGTTTACTGTACACACACCAGAAAGACGGTCCCCAAACCTGGAGTGACTGCCCCACGCGTGGAATGGGGTAGTGTGTTATAAAGCAGCTTATCTAGTAAGGAGAGGGCTGTGTATTCCCCACTGTGACTGGTTGGAGTATTACAATTAATTGTAGGGAATTGGCCTGTGGTTGCCTCCTATCAACCTTGGGAAACAAGTTTTGCTTATGACTTCCAGAGGTATAAATGAGAAATGACCCATGCCAAGGTAGTCTTGCAAAATAAGTCAAATTAAGCTTTGCTTATATGACTGAACTGGTTCTGTCTGCTCAGGAAACTCCAAGGGTGGTCTCGGTTTGTCTCTTATTTGAACAATTCCCCCCCTCTTAGCATACCAAGCTAGATGGCATCATTCTCAGGTACCACCGCTGATGTAGTCAGGACAAGAATGACATGCTCACCGTTTCTACCAGCTGAGCCATCAGGCGGGAGGGCCGTGTGGAGGCCAGGCGGTCCCCGTCGTCAGCATCTATGTGGTCATTGCTCATGTCATCCAGTTGTCTGATCCTGATGGATACTGTTTGGCATGTGAGTGCTGCTGACGGGCATTTAAAACTCGTGGGAGCACACAACACCCTAGAGAGGTGAATGTGGGGTGACTATCAGGAGAATAATAGCCAAGGGTTGAAAAATTCTCCAGAGCAGAGATTCCCAGGGGCCAAGACTTAAAAAACTACGTAACGGGTTATAACCAGAATCAGGTTTTACCTTTCTAAGACGATCTACAATTATTTTGGATTATGTACAATTGGATTCAAATTGTTAAGTTAGTTACATAGGCACAGCATGCTGTATCAGCAAACATATCCTCAGATTACTTAGGATGGGATGAAGTAAGGGTGTTTTATTTCAGGGGGCGTTGTGCAGGGGAGCGTCCACCTAAATTAGACATCTTGTTTGGCATGAGCGATCAGGTACTTTAATGAGAGGCATTTCTACGGAAATAAGACCAAAGGTTAATAGTTCAAGTAAATTACAAATTCAGTTTCTAAGTCTGGAGAGCAGGTGGTTGAAGATCCTGAGCGTTGAGCTTGCGGCTTCTCCCGGTGGCGGAATGAGGGCGGCAGCTTGGGCCTGAGGGATTTCCCTGGCCTGCGCTGGACCGTCCTTGATGTCGTCACGCCCCACATAGGGACGGGCGTGAAGGCTGTCCGTACGTGATGTATTGCGGGTTTTTTCTGAGTTTACAAGTAGGTAACACCTCAAGGATAGTTAATAGGATTACAATCTGATAATGGATACATTATAGCTTTCCAATGAGATACAATTTTTTTAGTCATCCTATTTCTATCACATGTATTTACAGTGAAACTGACCTGTAAAATAAGCCTCGCCTATTGGACTTGGCTCAGTTAGTGCCATAAATGAAGATTAGTAATTCTGTGCATATTCTCAAAGTGTGGGTAATATCCAAGGGGATTTATTGACTCTATAAGTCAATCTTAATCCTCTGAAAATTTTTGGTGATAAGGAATCTCAGATTAGACCTTTACAGCCTCTTTAGGCTCAGAAACCACGCGCAGGACTGGCCACCTGATTCCTGCTACCAGGAGAACAGATCCTTATCACTTACGTAAATACGTATGTTGTCATGAGAAGAATACTGAGAGTTTCTGAATTCCGGAGGGATCAGATAGGGAGAAAAAAGTATTTCAACTTTGGTTACAAAAGTACACTTAACTAAATTGCTGTAAGCTATAGATAACTTAAAAGAGCAGAGAAAAAGGGGTCCTTTAAGTCTGGAAAACAAGACACTGAAGAACCAGCAATGTTTTCAAAGTCCTAACAAGTTCTAATCATCTTCATCAGGCCACTTAGTCCCCCTGCGACTCCTGTTCTGCATCGTCCTGGGTGAGCAGCTTTGTGAGCCAGTTTTCTACTGGTTCTCACTATTTAACTCTTACCCAGTTCAGTGGTCTGATCTTGGTGATCAGAAACCTGCGCTTGTCAAGAGGCCTTTCCATGAATCTCAAAGATGAAGCACTTACATAAAAGCATCAGAGTAAAACTGTAACTGCAGGTGACAAAACACTTAAAAACAGCCATAGTTAAAGATCTGGAAAGAGCTCACATATGCACAGAAAATGATACAATTGACAAGTAAATGTGGTTTATTTTTGTGGTGTACAATCCTTCCAGATAATAGCTGGAGTTATGACAACATTATACCAGGATATATAGGCAGACTTTTAGGCATTTCATATAATTTCTGAATAACACAGACCCTATCTAATATGATCTAAGAAGGTTAGACATCACTCTGCTTGACAATGTTCCCCATGTAGATAAATCAAATAAGCCCGAATTAACATTTGTGGGCTTTTGTTTTTGTTTTGCTGCAGTAAGAATTTGATTTGGGAAAGTTAAAAATGTCAAAACATTTGATCAAATGAAATCATGGAAACAATACCTCGTTGTCACTTTGGTTGAATAGATAAAAAGATTTCAAAGGCACATAACATACACAAAGTTGTGTATTCTATGTGTTTAAAAAACAAAACCCAAACTTGGCTCATTAGCTCTTTTAATTAATTGAAACAGATTCAGAAAATAAGCTAGGGGAATTTATTGTCAGTGGATATAAACTGCAGGAAGCACATGTGATCTAACAAGCCTTCCCAGTGATTCTGATAGAGTGTGAGATCCCTGCTGTCAATGGAAATGTGGCATCACATACAAGGTAAGCATAGAAGATTTTGCCATGTCTCTTCACCTCTAAGCTTTATACTTGTGATATTTAATAACAGACAATAAGGAATTTGGGCTGGTTGAAGTAGATTTCAGATAGTTAGTGTGGACTATACATTTGCATGAACTATGGCATAAATAATGCTGCTATAAGACTCCAGCATAAAAGTGTAGCATAGAGTTTTAGATGGAATGTTCTCCCCGCCTCTACCTGCAATATAGCATTATTACGGCACCCTGAGGACCACTAGCTCTGTTAGCCTTAGGAGGCGGCAGCGTCTGGAGGCAGCCTGATCTAGAGTGAACAGCAAGGCCGGGCAAGCCACGGTGGTACTCCTTCGAGGGGCTTTGCGAGATTGCTTGTCAGCAGGTGTGAATCAAGCAGAGGGTTATGGAGAGGCCCACGCAGTAAGGACAGCAGACTGGCTCAGAAGCACACAGAAGACACCCACTGGGAGGGATCAGAAATAGCTGGCACGACTTTTTGTTGGGAGAGAACACAATGGAGGATTGTCAAGTTCCTGCTTGAGCTCGCAGAAGGTTCGGGGTCATGTAAAATATGGCAGTAGGGCAAACACGTGTCTTTGTTTGGTGTGGCCAAGTAACATTTGGGCTTCAAAGGTCTGCATGTGGCAAAGGACTGGTCAAGTGATAGGAAAAGATGGTGGAAAGAATTCAAAGGCTGACAGTTTTGCTGCGTCTGTAAATGCTAACATGCCAACTGTAAATGCTGGCTACAGCATTGCTCATTATGGGACAGAAGAGGATGTAGCATTTCCATGTCAGTCTGTTGACCCTTTATGGCCCTGGAGGGATAAGGAGAACAAGACTTCCAGCTGCAGCTCGCTCGAGGGTCAGGGGTGAGAACGCAACAGGGACACGGGCATCCCTGGAGGCACGAGGCGGCACAGCGCTGTAGCTGGGATCTGGTGCGGGGATCAGGCAGATCGGGGACGAAATCTCAGATTCTTGTGGCTCACCCTTCATGTGACCTTGAGTGTTTACTTACGTTCTTTGAACTTCAGTTTCCTCATGTCAAGTGGAATAATGGCGTCCACCCACGGGATGTGATTATTGCTATTATCTCCAACCAGTTTGACATTTTATTTTTTAGAGGAAACTTGGGAAGGTCCTTAGTTTCTGGTTTCCTCCTTCCATAGCAAGCATTACTGATAAATGCCGAGCTACAGAGAGGATAACTGGAAACAAATGAACGTCAGTCCAGAGAGGGTTCTGAGCACAAAAGATGGAGTGCAGAGAAGCACTGCGGGCCCCAAGGGCACCCCACTGCTTATGACTTGGCATGGACTTCCTTCTTTCATATTTGCCTGTCATAAAATGCAAGCCATGTATTTTACATTTGAAGGAAAACCAGTTATTTTCCTTACTGATGTTTGTAGTAGTTGCCTGGGTCATTTCTACAAACCCCGAAGACTTTGTAAAACGAGAAAGCATTTGCTCACCTACCACATTAGTGGTGAATTCATGATTTCATGAAACTCCATCTGTCCAGGGAGGCCAAAGTAAATCTGTCTCCTTAAGGAGAAGACTCGGATTTGGGGATGCAGCTGGTACGTGCTCAGGGGAAGTCATGACTGCATACGAACACAAATCCCCTTCTGAGGGTCGTCCCTGCTGAATCCCCCGTGAAATTTTACCATATTGAGTTTCTCTCTTCCTGCACAAACACATCATGCATTACTGTGTTTCCAACTCTGTGCTTTTCATACTCAGGATTTCAAGTATCCACAGTCCTGCCCTTCTCCCCTTCCTCACATGTCTTCCTCTCTCTCCCTCCCTTTCTTCCCTACCTCCTCTTTTCTCCTCTCTTCCTTTCCCCCTGCAATTCTTCAGTAAATTGCAAACTTGCTGCGAAGTTTAGGAAATGTGTTAAACACTCTCACGTACTCATTGCCCAGTTTAAGAAGTAAAAACAAAGCTCCTTGCAGACAACCCGCCTCCGATCCACTTCTCTTCTCTGCCTCCCAGAGGCCGCCGTTCCCCTCATTCCTGTGCGTGATGCCAGAATCTTACCACATATGTATGTAACTATCTACATACAGGTCCTGTTTTGTAGGTTTTCAAACTTTATATGCATAGTTTCATATAACTTATACCCTGCGACTTCCTTTTGTTCAAAATTTGTTTTCTTGACAAAACTTCCAATTTTTTGGTTTGCCAGGTAGATATTTAAAAGCCACCACACTTTCCTAACATAACACTGCACTGACCCGAACTAGAAGTATCAAAACGCTTCATTAAATCGTGTCCATGTGTGAGGACAGGAGAGGCCACTGAACCCCCGAAGGCTGACAGACAAGAAGAGAACCATCCGGGGCATTGTGGGCTCAGGTGACCCCAGCCAGCGGGCAGACACAGCCCACACTTGGCTGCAGGCTGGTTCCAGCATGTCCAAGTACCAAGAGCCCAGGCAGGAGAAAGCCCTGGAACTGCGTTTTCAGGAGGTGACAGCATGGGAACAAGCCTGGCTAGTGCGGGGGGTGGGAGGTGTGACCGAGTCAGGGTGGGAGGCCGGTCAGGGCCTGTGGGCTCCGGTCGGAGGGCCATACATGCTCAGGAATGGGGGACGTCCAAGGAACCTCTAAGAAGACGCATGTGTTGGCCAGGAGGCGGGAAATGAGAGTGGGCTCCGGCCGCCCATGCTCTGAACTCACCCTCAGCATCCTGGGCAGCCCCTGACCGTGTAGGTTTTCTCCCTTGCCAGGAACAGTGCAAAGCTTTGAGGGGCTCGGACGCAGGGTACGGGCTCCATCCGGCTGTCACAGCTGGGCTTCCTCCCAGGGTGTCCCCATTAGGGCAGCCGTTTGGGTACCAGTGGGAAGTACAGGGCTTCCAGCAGGCCCTGGGGAGGGGTTGACATCAGAGGGCCAGGGGCCGGGCACCCTGGAATCCCTCTTACACCCAGTTTACCTTGAGAGGTTCCCAGGAGATGAAGGAGGCCAGGAAACTTCCGGAGAAGAGATGTGGCCCTGCCGGGGTTTCCTGAGACCCTCCAGCCACCAGAAGCAGTGCGCCTATTAGGCTGGGAGCAGCCCTTCCCCCACGCCTGGGGGACAGTGTTCATTTCTGTTCTAAACCCTTTCCCTGTACCCGTGCATCCAATGGTTCTGATCGTCACTGCCACCTCCGGTTCACACCAGAGACCTAGAATGACAAGAACAGTCCACCCAGAGCCACGTGGAGGGACAGAGGCGTCTCTCCCTGCCCCACGGCCCACGGCAGCCAGGCTTCTGCCCCTCCAGGCTGCCATCCCCACGCGCCCAGGGCGTCTCTGTGTTCTGACTTTCAGAAATTGTTCAGCATTGCTCATGCGCTTCTGACATTCTTCCTTGTTTCCTAAAAGTGTTATTCATTTATTCTTTAAAAATATCATCTGTCCCCCTTTGGGTGGGCCGGGAGAGGCAGAGGAAGGATGAATTGGGGGCGTACCTTTGCCTGCCATGCTGGGAGACTACAGGGGTTCTGACATGAAACAAAGATCTGAGTATGTCACCCACGGTCATCAAAACAATAGAAGCACGAGAAGGAATCGGGCCAATTCCACCCTGACAAGGAGAAGCTGGAAATGAGCCAGGTTTTCTTCTCGGTGTGACTTGGTTGGTTCTGTCTTATGTCAGTATGAACAATAAGGAGGGACTTGAATTTGTTATAATTACCTGATGACCTGAAACAGAAATATTAACTCCTTGGAGGGTAAAGCATTTTCCCTGTAAAACCATCCTGTCATACAGAGACTTGCTTCACCATGTACATATGTTATTATTTTAAAGTTCAAAGAGGATTTGCAACATTTAGTTTTTGTCAGAGACGGATGAAGCCTGAACATACCAGTTACTCCAGGGATTACAGGTCCTTACAATCAGCAGTTTCACCAGGAAGTCCGCCAGATTTACATCCTAATTATGGGTCTCAACTGACCTGGCAATGATGGGCTTCCTCGCCTCCCTCCGCCGTAGGAATTCTGGGTATTCGTTCGTTTTCATTTCGAATATTTCCCAACACTTCCACAAGCAGGTAGAATGGAAATAATGTAATGAATCCTTGGGTACCTATTGTCTGGTCTTAATAGTGAATGATATTTTAATATATTTTTACATCTATTTTGTTTTGGCTGAAGAATTTTGAAATATATGTCAGACAAATGACATTTTACTTCCAAATATGTATGTATGCCTTCCTTTTTAAAAAAATGGCATCTCTTACATAAGGACAATGTCATCATTCCTAACAAGATTCACAGTAATGTCTTAATTTCATCGAGTGCCCCATTCATATTGAATAATTTCCCATTTGTCACAAACATCATTTACAATTTTAAACCAGGGTCCAATAAATCATCACACATTCAAGAATTAGATGTTATACCTCAATTCTCTTTACAAACAAAAAAGAAAGCTTTATTCAGGTATAATATTTAAAAAGTGCACATATTCAATGTATACAACTTGGTGGGTTTGGGCACGTGCACCCCCCATGGGGGGTGGTCACCACAATCCAGGCAATAAACATGTAATAAACACACGGAGACTCTCCCTGTGCTCTTCGGTTTGGGTTTGTTTAGGTTTTTTTGTGTGTGGTTAAAGCTCTCAACATGAGATCTACTCTGTCAACAAAATTTTAAGTGCACAATTCAGTACTGCCATCATAGGGGCTGCGACATTCCGTTTTTGTCAGACTCAGGAAGCTCCGTGCACAGCAGGTCTCTGGAACTTACTCCTCCTGCACAACTGAGACTTCAGACCCATGAACATCTCCCCGTTTCACCCCCCAGCCCCTGGCACCCATCACTCTACTTCTTAAATCTTTTACTCTAGAACAGTCATCTCCCAACGTCCCCTATTTCCCTGCCTTTGACTTTTGGGGAAAGCAGGGCAATGGGTCTGCAGAACATCCCGCCTTCTAGAGCTTTCCACCTGCTCCTCATCAGGGCAGTTGTTCTCCTGCTCTTCTAGGATTCCTGCATCCTAGGAATTAGATCTCGAGACTCCACGACATTCTGGCTCAACATTTTGGACAAAAACATTTCAGACTGCATCACGTAGGGCGGCGCACGGCAGCAGACTGTCCCCCTTCTGGCAATGCCGGTTCAGGGGGTTGCAGGCTGACTTCGAGATCGCACAGCACTTTACAGGCAGAAAGCGATCTGTGTTTGGGCACCTTGCAGATATCTGCCATCATTTTAGCACCTATTAGAATCATTATTGCCTAGACAGATAAATTCATTAGGAGTTTAAAAGCTGGTGACTTTCCAAGTCTTTCTACGTTTACCAGCCACAAGGACTCTGTTGAGAGCTTCCCTCAGTTTGAGCTGTTTGGTTTCCCTGAAATACAATTTCCTCAGGAAAAGCAATATAGATGCTTAATTCTTTTACCTTACTTTACTCCAAAAATTGGTAATTTTTCCTGTACTAGCTACCGGCAGTGATGGTAAATGAGTTTTTCTCTCCTTCCCCCTCTCCTGCCTCCCTTATAAACTCAAAGAATTCTCTACATTCAAGGTGTTTCAAACAATTGCAATCATTCCTTTCAAGGCACAGATTGTCCCGTATCTGGCCAGTGATAGTCAACCCTGGGCTCCTCTTCAGATAGAGGAGCCTCTGCCTTCATCCCACAATCTCTATTTACAAAGAATTAAGCATTCCATGTGAAACCTCATCCGTGGCCGCTAGAAGCCTGAACAATTGCAAGAGATGACCTGAGAATTACCTTCCAGAGCGACAAGAGGAGCGCATGGCGTCTGAGTCCTCCGAATTTTTTCTTCCTCAAGATTGCTTTGGCTATCTGGGGTTCCTTCAGATTCCATGTGAATTTGGGGACTTTTTTTTTCTACTTCTGCAAAAAATGCTATTGGAATTTTGAAAAGGACTGCACTGAATCTTAGACTGCTTTTAGTAGCATGAACATTTTAAACATACTAAGTCTTACAATCCACAAATATGGGATGTCTTTCCATTTATTTGTATCTTCTTTGATTTCTTTTAGCAATGTTTTGTATTTTTCATTTTACAAGTCTTTCACCTCCTTGGTTAAGTTTATTCTAAAGTATTTTATCCTTTTTGATGCTATAGTAAATGAGATTGTTTCCTGAATTTTCTTTTCAGATTGTTCATCTTTAGGGTATGGAAATGCAACTGATATCTTATGTCCTACAACTTTACTAAATTCTTTTATTCTAACAGTTTTTGTGTGGAATATTTGGGATTTCCTAAATATAAGATCACGGCATTGCTTTTCCAATCTGTATGCTCGTTTCCTCATTTCACTTTTCCGATTTGCCCATTTTTCTGTTTATCCAATTACTCTGCCTACAACTTTCAGTACTATGTTAGATAGTAGTGGTCAGAGGGGTACATGTCCTTGTCTTATTTCTGATGTTAGGGGACAATCTCTCAGTCTTTCCCTACTGAATATGTTGTTGGCCGTGGGCTGTTTATGGATGGCTTTTACTATTTTGAGGTAGTTTCCTTCTAGTCCTAGTTTGTTGAAAAGGACATTGAATTTTGTTAGCTGTCTTTTCAGCGCTGACTGAGATGATCACGTGATTTTTGCCCTTCATTCTGTCGAGGTGTGAGATGGGGTGAAAGGCATGTTGTACAGTGACAGAGACACAGTTCGGTGCATCAGAGAACAGTGATGGGTAAACTAGAAACTTTATTGTATGAGAACTAAGTTAAAGGACTTTGAGGTAGCCTTGCTGGGAAAATAACTCATGTAACGATTTAAGAGTGCAATGGTTGGAAGAATAATTAGATTTATTTTGCAAGCTTCCTATAAGAAGAATTAGAATCAATGGATAGCTTGATAGAAGGAAAAGATTCTTAATGTGTGTTCCCTCATTTATGAGAGTCCATCTTAACCTGGCTGACCAGGCCTTTGTGCTATTGTTATAATAATATAACTTCATTTCCTCTCACTAAGAAATATTCCATACAAGGAAATCACCCCCAAGTAACAATAGTTCCACTCTTAAGACCTTGAGCAAATTAATGGAAAGCATAGATACTTTTAAAAAAAGATTTAGAAACAAAGCTTGTAAAGTCATATGAGGTCTTCTGGAGGGGATCTCACCTCACTTTTAGGGTCAGCAAGAATCAGGGTTTTAGGGTCTGTACATTGACATAATACTTAGTTTCTCTCAAGGAGCTTGAGGGTTTTGGACTGTGGTCTTTGGTTCTTAATAGCATCTAGAACAACTGGTTATCAACTTTCAAATAATCTTCTTAAGCAAGAAGACTGTTACTATGATTTTCTCCTACAAATCACATTTTCTCTAAGCTTGAATCACTTAGACAACTCCTTTGTGTGCCACACATTTCTTAAATTAAGAATGGTGAGGTTTTACTACTTCTGTCATTATACTTATCACCGGAGATACGCTTATGTCCGGCTTCCTCTATTCAGTAGCCAAAAGGTGGGAACAACGCCGTGTCCATCACCAGATGAATGGATAAAGAAGGTGTGGGGTATACATCTAATGGAATATTATTCAGCCTTAAAAAGGAAGGAAATTCTGACACATGCAGTGACATGGATGAACCTTAAAGACATATGCTAAGTGAAAGAGGCCAATTTGAAGGACAAAGACTGTGTAACTCCACTTAGCCTAGCTACCTAGAATAGCCTAATTCACAGAAACAGAAAGAGGGACGCTGTTTCCGAGGAGCCTGGGGTCAGGCAGAGTCGAGGACCTTACTGTTCAGTGGCTACGGAGGGTCTGCTCGGGATGGTAAGGTTCTGGGGAGTCCGGGGATCGATCCTGATGATGGCTACACAATATTGTGAATATACATCCTGCCACTGAAATGTACCCTTAAAATGGATTTAAATGGTAAATTTTATGTATATTTTTCTACAATCAATTTTTTAAAATCTCATTCCTCCTACATCAGATTGCATTAAACTATCCTTCCAGTATGTGTGAGGCCAACTGAGAGGACAGCTAGTACTGGTTTTTTATAGTTAAATGTATTTACTTTTCCTTCAGTAAATATAGTTTAAGAACCTATTAATCTGATTTCCAGTCACATAGTTAGGTGGATGGGCCTTATTCAGGCCTTACGCAACAGTCCCTTCCTAGGAACCGAAAATACCCACGTTGAGACCAATAACAACACCGTTCAGGGTGAGATTCTGAATACAGCCGCGAAGGCCGCCAAGCCCCCCTGTATCGAGTCGGATGCGTCTCCCTGGAGGTGTTGGTTTTCAGGGCCGCCTTAGTCCCTGGGCTTCACAGCCTTTTGACCTCGATGGCCCTACAGACAAAAGCATTGATGGGGGGCGGTTTGAAGCGCTGGCCGAGGGTAATGACGACAATGGCTGTACCTCTGTCTGCTGCTATCCAGTCAATTTCCCATGGGGTACAGGTTTTATCTTCCACTGAGAACAGATTTTTGGCAATAAATGAATGACTATGCTTTTTCCACTGAGTCAAGATACATCTTTTGGCATCCAGAAGCACATGTGTTTTAAGGCCCCAGTTCCATGACAATCAAAATATTTTAAGGCTAATGGAAAACAAATTAATAAATATTTTAACAAAAGGAAAATGATGTAATTTTAAAATGCACACATCTGTAAAATTCTAACCAAGGGTACTTTTAGTTATAACAACACTGTTGCCTACGGGAGGGAGGGATCTTTACCAGCTGCATTAAAATCTTAACAAAATTTTTAGCTTTTTATTGGAATACAGGAAGAAAAATGGCATTTGTGAATTTAAAAATTTTTTGACTTTTTACTAAATGCTCAAATCCAAATGTCTGGCAAATTAAATACTACTACTACATTAGAAAAGAATTCCAGTTATTATAAAAGTAACCTCAGAGATCAACTACAATTTCAGAATAAACACAAAATACATACTTTCCACCACTCTCTGTAAGTAGCAAACCTGCGGACCTGGTGTGGCATCGCCCACGAGGTAAGTTTTCTCTGCAAGCAATCATTTGTCTTTTCTGTCCCATCATTTAACTGTTTTCAAAGTGCTGCGACCCGCCTTGTTTTCACAGTATGATCACTGGGAAAGGGGGTCTTCATTCCAAGCTGACGTTGCTTCTCTCTGTTCTCACTCTCTGGCAATAAAAATTCCTACAGTAAGTAATTTTTATCACCACAAATTATTTCTGAAGCCCCTTCCTCATTTCCCCCCGCCTCCTCTTCTCTCTCCAGACCTATTTCTACCCTTCTCTCTTCCACACATCTTTCTTTAAGAAGGTCATGTTAAAGGGATGAATGAAAAGTTGTCACTTTTGAGAAATCGAATGAATAATAAAAAAAGCTAATGAGTAGCCCTTCCTAGAGTTGGGACAGATTTTTCTCCTGTGGGTTCACAATGTCTCCGCAGGCTTCCCCTTGTCCCCAGGGCCACTCAGCTGTGAGACAGCTCGTCAGGAGGAGATCTGTGGCCGTGAAATAGTGGTACTCGGCAGCCCAGCTGAAGACTGTCCCCGGGGCGCCGACCTTCCTCAGACTCCTGATACACACAGAAAGCTAGAACATGTTCATGGCATGAGTGTCACACAGCGTTCATTTTTGTGTGTGCCGGAATCACATTCTCCAGTTAATCAGAGAACCCCTTAAGTGTCTCATAGCTTTGCCCAGAACTGAATATAACAGTCTCAGTACAGCCTCATGAATGCAGAGAACGGGAGGGGATTACCTCCTTATCTGAACACCATGAAGGGGGGCTAAGGTGGATACACTGGCTCAAGTCAAACTTTCCCCCAGGTAAGACTCAGGCCACTTTCATATTTTTCCACTTAAAAACCACACCTTTGTCATCTACCTATGTTGTTGGGATTTCAGGTAAAAGTTTAGGACCTTCAATTTATCCATATTGAATTCTATCAGGTTTATAAATGGCTCTAAAAAATAACAGTCTGGCACTGTCTTCTAAGAAACTACCTGACTTTTCTAGAAATTAGTGGCCAAGCAAGAGGGAAGCTACACGGATGTTAAGAGGATTCAAGTCGACTCAGGAGTTTAAGAACATTCTTTGGAGTAGAAGTTGGGCGGGGATGATGGATCCCATGAGAGAGAAGGGACAGATCCGTCTCTTCCACGGACTGTCATCTGGGTTCCTGATTCATCTGTATCTATTTTCCACAGGGTTTAGGAATGTTCTTTGCCTACAGGAAGTCCTCAATAAACATTTGCTGAATGCATCACAAAGGCGCAATGGGTAAATGCTCTCGTATTGATTGTTGTAACTGAAGTCATTTGCTTTTTTGAAATTCACCTTTACTTAAAGTAGCAGAAACAATCACTTCTAAAAGTAAGATGGCTTTGTGTTGACCCCTGAAGTTAAAAACTAAAAAAAAGTCCATGGAAATTGCTAGTTCACAGAACACTAACTGAGATGGTTTGGCTGAAAGAGATTAGAAACCACCGAAGACACTTCCTAACTGTAGTTCATCTGAGCCATTTCACCAGTGCCTAGTTACTGGCTTTTCAGGAAAACCCTCAAGTTTAAATAGCAAAAAAAAAAAAACCCTGTAACATTTTGAGAGTAGATAGCTAAAATTAAAGGTTGCTTAGGCTTTCATATCTGATTACGAATAAAAATTGGTTTAAACTGATATTAAAATAATTTCCAAGAATAAAATTCCTTCTGTAAAAACCAGGACTTAAAACCCAGGAAATGAGAGAGTGAAATGGCCAATGTCAAAGAAGTAAGAATGTCCTTTAAATGGATACATTGTGAACACCGCAAGCATCAGTACAACAGACTGTGACATGTAAGACCTGGATGAAGGTAACTTCTTCATTTCAACCCCCATGTTGGGCATTCAAGAAACAGGAAAATAAACTAGGCTGATATCTGCCCAGATATTAACGTAAGAATGACTCACTGGCTTGGAAGGATTGAACCACGATATTTTTCTTTATTTTGATATAGTAAAATACTCTGGGGAGGGAGGAAGGGAGGAAGGAAAGAATCAGAACCAGATTCAATCAAGTACAACAGAGATTTTGGAATTACCAGACCAAGAATTTAAAATAACTTTAATTAGGGTGCTAAGGGTTCTAATGGAAAAAATGGGCAATGTACAGGAACAGATGGGTAGTTTAAGCAGAGAGATGGAAACTCTAAGAATGCATCAACAGGATATTCCAGAAATCAAAAACACTAACAGAAATGAAGAATGCCGTTCACAAGCTCATTAGCACACTGGACGCAGCCAAGGAAAGAATCAATGGGCTTGCAGGTATGTCTACAGAAACTTCCCAAACTGAAAAGAAAAGATGGTTAAAAAAACAAAACAGAACAGAACAGAATATCCAAGAACTATGGGACAAATACAAACATTTTAACATGTACATAAAGGAACACCATAAGGAAAAGAAAGAGAAAAGAACAGAAGAATCATTCAAAATAGCTGAGAATTTTCCAAAATTAATAACAAATACTGTACCATAGACCCAGGAAGGTCAGACAACACCAAGGAGAATAGCAAAAAATCTTAACATATCACATTCACACTGCAAAATATCAGACGGAGACAAAAATGATAGAGGCCAGAGGGATAAAAAGTGTCTTACCTGTTGAGGAACAAGGACAGTAGAGCTGCGTCCTATTCTACACACCTTATGACTATGTTAGGTTATGTGGCAAAGAGAAATTAAGATCAGAGGTGCAACGGAGGTCGCTAATCAGCTGATCTTAAAATGGGGAGAGTATCCTGAATTATCCAAGTGGGCCAAATGGGATCCTAAGAGTCCTCAGAAGTGAAAGACGGAGGCGGAAGAGGGAGAACCAGAGATGGGAGTGGGGAACTTGCGGCTGGCTTTGACGTGGAGGAGCAGAGGAGCGGCAAAAACCCAGGGAGTGAGCCCCCCTCTGGGGCGTCTGGAAGGAAATGCATCCTGGTGACACCTGACGTCGGGCCACTGAGCTCCATTCTGGAATCGTGATCTCCAGAAATGGAAGGTGATAAATTTGTACTGTTTAAGCTACGAAGTTTGTAGTAATTTGTTGCAGCAGGAGTAGAAAGCTAATACGGTTAAAATCACTGTTTTAAAGCCTTTGATGATTCCAGCATCTGCTCTCTCAGGGTTGGCAACTGTTGTTTACTCCCTTGTTAGCTGTGATTTCCCTGCTTCTTCATATACTGAATTGTTTTGGCTCATATCCTGGGTATTTTAAATAGCATGCCATGAGATTCTGGATTTTGCTTAAACCCCAGGAATGCTTTTTCTTTTTAGTTAGACAACTGATCTAGTTAGGTTATGACCATAAAGTTCCAACTCACCTTGAGTGGACTCTAGTTCTAAGGTCTGTTCAGTTCTCAAAGCCTTTATGATGCCATTCAATCTGTCTTGTGGCAAAGAGAAATTAAGATCAGAGGTGCAACGGAGGTCGCTAATCAGCTGATCTTAAAATGGGGAGAGTATCCTGAATTATCCAAGTGGGCCAAATGGGATCCTAAGAGTCCTCAGAAGTGAAAGACGGAGGCGGAAGAGGGAGAACCAGAGATGGGAGTGGGGAACTTGCGGCTGGCTTTGACGTGGAGGAGCAGAGGAGCGGCAAAAACCCAGGGAGTGAGCCCCCCTCTGGGGCGTCTGGAAGGAAATGCATCCTGGTGACACCTGACGTCGGGCCACTGAGCTCCATTCTGGAATCGTGATCTCCAGAAATGGAAGGTGATAAATTTGTACTGTTTAAGCTACGAAGTTTGTAGTAATTTGTTGCAGCAGGAGTAGAAAGCTAATACGGTTAAAATCACTGTTTTAAAGCCTTTGATGATTCCAGCATCTGCTCTCTCAGGGTTGGCAACTGTTGTTTACTCCCTTGTTAGCTGTGATTTCCCTGCTTCTTCATATACTGAATTGTTTTGGCTCATATCCTGGGTATTTTAAATAGCATGCCATGAGATTCTGGATTTTGCTTAAACCCTAGGAATGCTTTTTCTTTTTAGTTAGACAACTGATCTAGTTAGGTTATGACCATAAAGTTCCAACTCACCTTGAGTGGACTCTAGTTCTAAGGTCTGTTCAGTTCTCAAAGCCTTTATGATGCCATTCAATCTGTCCCATGCACACTACAGCCAGGCGCCAGGCTGGTTCCTGGGCAGTCAGCCAGCCTGCGGTTCAATTCCCAGAGCTTCTAGCGTGTTATTTGGGGAAAGATGAACACATGCAAACTCAGAGCTGAGCCCAGAAGTTTGTTCGTCCAGCACTTCCCGGGACAGCACTTTTAAGCTCGGTCTTCTCTGAAGTCTCCCCAACTGGTCGCCTTCTCTGGGGTCCCTACTTTTGGTCCTTTGGCCAGACAAATGGGGCAGGAGGATTTCCCAGCCTGAGTGAGAAACACGTATCCTTTGCCCAGTTTCTCCATTGCTAACATCTTACAAAACTGTAGTGAAAAAAACCACACGCACACACAACCAGTGCATTGGTGCTGCTTTAGCCAAGACACACTTTCATCACAGGACTCCTTCATGTTGCTTTTTTCAGCCTCTCCCACTTCCCCCCTATCCCCAACCCTCCTCTATCCCTTAACCCCTGGCCACCGTTTATGTTTTCCATTTCTATAATTTTGTCATTTCAAGAATAGAACTAACAGGATCACACAATACATGCACTATAAACATGAGCAAGGGGAAACAAAGAATTTTGTGCCGGACCCTTCAAATTCGGCCTGTAAAGGGGAAAGTGTCTAGCAGCGCAGGACAAGATCCGCTCGACGCCACTCAGCAGAACTGCCTCCTCCTTTTAATGACCTGTTTCATATACATGTGCTTCGAATCTATAAAGGATATGTGCATATTCAATATAAATGTAAATTTACACACACACACATATATATTTCAAGTACACATATATATATAATCTATATAGACCCTAACACACAGGGTCTTTTTCAGAAGATGCCAAGATCTTCTCCATGACACACCTGATCGAACATCACCGATTACTGTGTAATCCTCCCTGTCATTTTCCAACCCACCGGCTCCTTCTCCCCACTGACCAAGGACCTAGAAGAACTCGGCTTGTCGTCTCCCTCATCACTGGAAGTCCCGACGCCCTGCAGGTGGGCCTCAGTGTCCACGGAGGACACTGCTCCAAGACCCACATCTCTGTGGCTTCCGTGTCTCGGTCCCATAGGCCTATGGGTGCTCAGACGGCAGCTGGTTTCCTGCCCCTCCACCCAACTTAGGTGGAACCACACTCTTTCCTACTTCCGATTTGTAAGCTTCTTTCCAAATAATTTAAATGTATTTAAGTATCTTTCATATTTAAAAAAAAACTTGCCAAGCCTCCCATTCCTCACCCTGTACTTCCACCCTGTTGCGCCCCTCCCCAGGCCAGCTGCCCGAGCGTCCCCCCAGCCCACTCCCCGCCCTGCCCCTCCCTTCTCAGGGCTCTGCCCCCAGGCCTGTGTCACCACCAGTGTGCCCTCTTCTCACTCAAGAGCTCCCCCCAGGAAATGCCAGAATTCCGGGGATGCGCTGCCGCTTAGATTCTGTGGCTGCGGCTGCCTAAGCCCCTTTCCCAAAGCAGGTCTTCTCAGCTTCAAAGCTGTGTATGCAACAGTCCACGGAAGCAACCCGCCGTCTGGATGACCTACAGACACCTCAAACATAGACTGCTTGTATCTAAGCTCACTTTTTTTTTGTCCAAAGTATTTCTTCTCTTGTGTTCTATACGTTCACACCTCACCAGTCACGCAGCTGCAGATACCTGGAATAATTCCTGCTTGACCCCACCTCTTTACCCCTCCAGTCACTCACTGTTGCTGTCAGTTCTGTCTCAAATTCACTGATTTGTCTCCGTCCTCACTGTTTGCACCTTATTTCATGTCACCATTTCTCTCACCTGGACCACTGGGCAGTATTTCGTTATTTTAACAGTGATTTATTAAGTACCTAGTATGTCAGCCACTGTTCCAGGCACTTGAGATATACCAGCAAGGAAATAAAGAAAACAATCTTTGCTCTTCTTGAGGTCAAGGTGGACAATAATCAATGAACAGAATCATAGGGAAATTATATAATATTTTGGGAAGTGAAAGGATTATTACCAAAAATGTCAGAGTAAGGGGAATGCTAAGAGGAAGGGGTGGGGCTGTTTCTAGCGGTAAATAAGAAAGATGACATTTGAGCAGAGACGTGGAGGAAGACAGTTAACTATGGCAAAGCTGCAGGAAGAGCAAGTGGAGGAAAACAGCCAGTGTGGGGACAGCCTGAGCCACCCTATGCGGGCTTCTGTGCCCTTTAATTAACTGAGCCCCACTGCGCGCTGTGCCGAGGAGAGCGGACCCTTCCACGTGTGCAAGGAGCCACGGAAGGAGATTCGAGCAGCATATCCAAATTTTCGTGTTAGAAACATAATATCAGATTCCTAAACACAATGATGATGTCCGATATTTCTATATCCCTAATACCCAGCCCAGCACTGGACGCACAATCTATATTCAACGAATGTTTGTTGAATGAATGATTAAATCAAGCTGAGACCGGAGGCAGGGAAATTAATTAGAAGATGATTTCAGCATGGTAGACGGGAGATTACAAAAAGACTGGACTAGCGCAAGACACGGGGATGGAGGAAAAGAAGACAGATTTGCAAGACAGGAGGTAGAATTCATGAGACACTGTGGCTGGCCGCACATGGAGGGAGTTTGGCTTGCCTGCTGGACTGTGGCAGCACAGAGATGCGAGAACGTGCAGGGGACCTGTTCCCGTTTGCCTTTGTTTCCTTTTTGCCGAGGAGGGCAGTGAGGGAGATGATACACTCAGTGTGCAGGTCCTTGTGCTGGAAACACCAGCGCGCAGTGAGGCAGGGATAACCGATGAGCAGCACATACCCAGGAGCAGGACACAGAACAGGTCTCAGCTCTGGGAGAGGTTCTCAAACTTTAGCAGGCGTAACAATCAGCTGGGGAGCTTACTCATGCCTCATAATCTTAGGCTTGAGCCCAGAGATCTCTTTCTGCCACGGAGCAGAGCCCAGGAACCAGCACTTGACACGCACATGAGCAAAGACCGGAATTCTGGTGCAGAGTGCTCAGGCTTCACTTTAAGAAACACTAATATTGGTAGAAGACGGTGGGACCTGAACCTATGAATTAAAGGCCACGAGTCTAAGAGCTCTGTTATTCACCAGCTCACATCCTTGTCTGAATGTCCTAGACTCAGGGTTCTTATCTTGATCTGGGAGTGATAAACTTTTAAAAGAGGTTGGGTTCAAATTAGAAGGGCTTTGAATGGCTAAACTAAGGCATTCGACCTCATCAGGGCTGTCACGTGTGAAAGCCACTGGTGAAAGTTTTTATCAGGACAAGAAGATGATGAAAGCAGAACTTTTGAAAGATTAGTTTTGGACTACTTAACTGGGAGAAGAAAGTAGAAGCCAGGTCAGTTAAGAAAGACTGCAGAAAGGGCAAACTTAAAAAACATTAACTACTCAAAAAATAAGCAAACCCCTATGAAGATGGTGGAGGACTGAAACAGAGATTTAACTGGACTGGAGTCTCCGAGGCCAAGGTCAGAGAGCGTGTTAAGCGGTAGGGTTAGCAGGGACAAACGTACAGAGTCAGCTGCAAAGCCACCTGCCACTAGAAAAAAAACAATAGCCGTATATTGTCAAAGGGATTAGTGCTGAACAGAGAAACCTCTTATTCACATGTCGCTAACAGGATGTGCTTTTAACTTTTTAATCCTTGCCTTGATAAAGGTATGCATTCAAAGTTACCATGACCTTCTCTGAAATTCTAATAAAAGAAACAATTCCTACCTTTGTGTAGTCTTTTGAACCCAAGTAAGTGGCCCAGAAAACTAAGGGAAGCATCAACCTCAGCAGTAATGTAGGAGCCACGGCGTTTGGAAACAGTGAGCAGAAGGCAGGACAGAAGAAGTGACCACACACCACATCAGACAGACATGGCACTGCTCTGAACAGCTATCTCTGGGGTTTCCAGAAAGTCCCATCACGTGTACCACCAGAAACCAGAAACAGCCTCCCTCCCTGGAGAAGGGAGCTGGACTAGTTGCTGACTCCCAGGCTCATCTGCAGTTTGGAGTCGCCCTGGGGCTCTGAGCCTGCCCCCCCCACCCCCACCCCCGGAGCTCAGCAGGCCTAGCAAGGTGTTAGCAACTGTTTACCCTAAGGAGCATGTTTCTCTGGGGCCTTTCGAGAAATCCTGGCCTCTGAACACATTCACACACCCGCGTGTCTGGCGCCCTCCTCTCTCCTTGGTCTCATCTGCCTCCACACGCTTCCTTCTAAATCTCCCATTTGTTTTTTTAGGCAGCTTGTATCTAATTCAGGTTTTTAATCTCCTCACGTTAAAGTAGCTGAGAACTTTGCCATAAAGGGCGAAGGTGTATTCTTGAGAAAAGGTCATTGTTGAGTGGCCAGAGTTTGTTTTTTAAACCCAGAATTCCAAAAGTTTGTGGCAAAAAGCTAAATTATGACAACGCTGGTCAAGCATTTTTGCCTGGGACCCACAATGAGAAAACTATATCAAATCCCATTTCAGAGCCCACATGTGTGTCCACACACACACACACACACTCTCATAAAATAATACTTATCCTTATTGCATGCAACATACTGTGATGTTGCTAGTTGCTTTTTATTTCTATTCCACTATATTCCAATTTTAAAGTATTTTCCATGCCCAGATAAAACCTCTTTACTCTTCCCTAACGGGTTACAATGCACCACTCGGAAAGCGCAGACCGATCTCTGGTTCTCCCTCACGGGAACCACAGCCACTCAGAGTGTCTTTGGTTAAATCAGTCTCTGCATTTACGTCACTGTTAAATATCCCTATAAGCTCCACTGACCAAAAGCTGATGCTACTTGCAGCCCAGCGCGTCGTCGGCTGGAAGCCCAGACCTTCTGTAATGGCCTGGTCCTGCTCGGCCTGCAGAGCCAGAAGACAGGAGCCCAGAGGGAGATCTTAGGGTTCTTTCAGAGGTTGGACATATCAAACCCCCGCCCAGGGGCTCCTTTGGTTGAGGCCTTACATATTTTAATACAGAGTGTGTTTCCTTTGCCCACGCCTTTGTGTTGCTGTCACATGGGGTGAGTCACCTCCACAGTAGCAGGAGAACTATCTGAAAAACGGGAGAGAAGAAAACAGAAGCTCACATCTCAAGTTCCTGAATGACTGAGATGGGCTGACTGGTTCCTCTCAGCGTCTGGAATTCTTTCTCTGCAAATGCCTTCCCTTGCCCCGACGAGAGCCAAGGTCTAAACCCCATGCAGTTCGGATCTGTAACAGGGCAGGAGAGAGTCCAAAATAACGAACTCTGGGCATGTGGGTGTCACTGTCACTGAAGGCGGTAAGAGGTCACAGTCCAGCCACCTAGCAGGTGGCCTGGTACCACCTATCACACTATCACACTGGCCATGCTGTGTGCCCTGCTCTGCATGGGGAAGTCTATATAAAGGTATAGATACAGCTAGAGAGAGATGTAAATAGACAGATCTAGATCTAGAAAGAGATATCAAGATATAGATATGAATATGGATATACTTGCCTGTATTTTATGTGTGTGACATATGTATATGCATATAACACTTGCTTGCCTCTGTGCCTATCCTTCCAGGCACAGGTCCATACAGCTGTATGGATACTAAAACTGTGGTCACATCAGGCTGGAGACGGTCAGAGATTCAGTAAATAATTCCTAAAGGAATTGATTGGAAGAAGAGATACAGATCCTGCCAATCCTTCCCCACCGCCTGTAAGGCACGTGCCCTCCTCCTGCCTGGTACTGCAGTATTGTGACAATTAAGATGGGGGGTCTGGGATTCTTAAACTAAACCCTGGAAGCCTTCTACCCTGTGTGGAACTAAGAGGAAAGATTTGGCTCCATAAATCCTCGAGGGTGAATGTGTGCTCTGAGCCGCAGGACAATTGCCACAGCCACACAAGTGAGAGTAAACGAATGCTTTGTACCCCTAACATATATAATTAACTCGTGTTGTTTTCATAAACTGCTGTCCTAGTCAGGACACATACCACCACCTCTGTGTAACAAAGAGCCTGGACATGCAGAGGGGCCACAAAACTGGGCTGAGCTTGTGCATCAGCAATTCTGCTGAGGCCAGAGCTCCAGGCCCTTGACTTGTGCAGACCTGCAGCCACAG